ATGTGCGAATATCTTTCCTTTTGCTTTATTTTTCACAAAAGAGAAAAGAAGAAAAAGAAGAAATAGAAGAATACTATATAAAACGTTGTTGTTACACATGTTATAACGAACAGTAGGATCTTCACTCAGCGATTGGACAATAATAATTTCGGACACCAAGGACGGAAAAATTCTTTTCAACGCTACTCTGAAGAAAGCAGAAGAGAAAAGTAACGAGAAACAGAGTTTAGACGGTCGGATTGCTGACTCTAGATCTTGGTCGCCGTATTTTGTCCTTTTTTTTTTCTTTTTCTTTTCTTTTTTCTTTGGAACTTCAGTGGTCGTGAGAGCGCGCAAAAGCTCCGTGTTCGTTTCCGGCTGGAGCGCGTCTAATGATGAACACCGTTGTTCACAGTGTGCATCGGTAATCGGGATTCACGACTATAATACGTAAGGTTCGCACGTTCAAAATATATGTTATATTTTAGGCAAGTGTCGGATTTTTTCGAATAAACATTTCCAGAATGTTCCATTTAAAACTCTGATGTGTCCAGCATACGAAAATATTGTTCCACGATGCAACAAATTCTAGAGCACAAATGGTTGATGTACAAATGCAAACAAAATTGAATTAGAATGTTTTCAATCAATTTTTTATGCGTAAATTTTCCTCGTTACGTTTCGTTTCCATTTTTTTTTTTTTTTTTTTTTCGTTCTTTTACAACGAAAGAGGAATTATTCGTTAAAAATCCGATCGCCTTTGGTACAATTGAATCTTTCAACCCCTGTTCCAGTGATTATATATCGTACAAAGAAGCCGCAGTCGGTTCGCGATGCAACCTGTGAACGCGCGTAAATGTATAAAAAATGAAGAGGAAAAAGAAATATATATATACACACAAGAGAAAAAAAGAAAGGTACGCAACAATGTTGTGTCCGTGGATAAAAAAAAAAAATAATGAAAAAGGAACCTTGAGGTCGCGGCACGGGTCCCCTGAAACCGGAAGTACCGTGACGACGAGAGCCGATATTTTGTTGCGCGTGCAGAGAAGTCAATTTTTGTCGATTACAAATGATAAAGAAATGAAAAAAGAAAAAAAAAATGATACGAGAAGAAAATATGAGAAAATGATGAAATAAACCCCTTGCATCACTGTAACATACCTCTAGAACGTTTCATAGTTTAATTAGCCTTCGGGTTATCGATCGAAGAAGCGATATTTTTCAAAGCAAGAAGATCTTAATCTAACGGCTGGTGAGAAAAGACGGGGAAAATTATTGGGTGATTTCGATGCATGGTAATCCGAGGGTTAAGACTGATTACAGCAAACACGCTATAAGAAAGCCAGATCGAGCGTATTTTGTAA